TACCCCGGAACGGCCGCTGGCACCGGCCGGCCGGGGCTGCCCTGCGCCGGGCCCACGGCGATACACGGGCGCGCACACGCCACGCACACGGACGCGCGTCGTCGAAGGCGGGGGAAAAGTGGCTGGCAGTTACTGCCCAGCCCGTCTCTCACGCCGGGGGCGAGGGGCTGCGCTCCTGCTCCTCCGCGGGTGAGGGGTCGAGGCAGTGCCCCCCTCCACTCGTGTCCGCTCCCAGGCTCGGGGCCGCAGCGGTGCCGGCGGTGAGGGGGGCGGGCAGGGGGATGCTGTTGGCGCCGGACGCGCTGCCGCGCGTCCCTGCTTCCCGCCGCGTGTTTCCAAGCGCGAATTAAATCTTAAATAACTTCCTCCTTTTTTTTTTTTAATAGCACTTGTACCGCCGACCTTCCTCCAGCCAAATACGCGTGGCAAAGAGGGCGGGGTGAGCGGTGCCTCTGGAGCCCTGCGGGAGCGGCTGTGCGTGCCGGCACAACCCCCCCGCTGCCCGAGCCCCGCCGCAGGCGCTGCCCCGGCCGGCGGCCGCGGCCCGGCTCTGCCCGCGGCTTCACGGGGCTGGGGCCCACGGGGCTCGCTCGCGGTTTTCTCAAAGCTTCGGTGTGTAAAACACGCGCTGACTTTGACCGTCGTGCGAACTTCTCTCGCCAACCTGTTTCCTGGGTGCGTGGAAAGGTTTCCTGAGCGGAGCCGGCGGCCGCCGCGCACTAGACATTGGCGGTTTATTTTTATGCGTTTAAAAAGTGATGGAAACGGCTCGGGTTGCTGGCCGGGGCGTGGGGGCCGCAGAGAGCAGGACCGCGGGCCGGAGCCTCCTCCCAGGCGTGCGGGGCAGGCGCCGCCGTGGGTGCCGCGGAGGGAGCGGGCACGCCGGCTCCGTCTGCGGGGTCCTCCGCCCCAGCAGCCCGGTGCCGAGCCCGCCGGCGAGCTCCGCGTTTTCCCGAGCGCCGCTGCCTTTCCCTCGGCGGGCGGATTCTCGTACCACTCCGGCTCCGGATTTCTGCCGAAATAACGCGGACCCCCGCCCTCCCCAGGGCCGGTCCCGGCCCCGAAACGATCGCCCGGCCCGTTAGGGGTAGCGGACTGGGAGCCCAGAAAACATTGTTTCCCTCATTTCAAAGGGGGAAACCTGAACGATTCTCATCCTTTTGATTGATTAAGGTCTTGAATAACTTGAAGCTCGGGAGTGACAGTTACTGAATAGAGTACTGCAAATAAAGAGCGCTGTGGAAAGCTGGGCTGGCACTTCAGAGTGTAAAGGAGGCGAGTTTGCTGGCACTTACCAAGTTATAAATAAAAGGCCATGCACAATAGTACCTTCTTTAAGGACAGACAGTCTTTACAACACTCCTGGCGTCATATCCTGCTGTGGTCACTTCAGCTCCTAGGCAGACTCTACCTCTTTTATTTTTCCAGCAGTTTAGTCTGAATACTACAATAAATTCCTGGGAACAAACGCTTGTTAGCAGGACTTTAACACGCACTGCCTCGCACCCGCACATACACACTCACGCACGCGTGTGTAACGCAGGGACGCTCTCGTCCCATCGGTTTTTAAAAGCAGAAATCCCCGCGGAGATCTCACTGGCTGCTCTCGCTTTCGAAACCGTTAGCACCGTTTGGTCCAGAGATGTTTCTTCTGGACGGCGAGAGACTTCGGTGCAAAATAAATAAATAGAAGGAAGGAAGAAGCGTTTTTTCCTTAAAAAAAAAAAGAAGGGGGGTTGCTCCCCCCCGCCCCCGGCCACTGGTGCTCGGGGAGCGGAACCGGGAGACCAAGCGCCTTACGGGCAGCGAGGCGGCTGCTGCCCCTTCGTGCTTGGCAGCCTGGCGGGGTCGGGCGGCGGGCTGCGGCCCCGCGGAGCCCCGAAGTGACACGGGCCCCTTAGGGATGCGAGGTCCGGGCCGCCTCAGGCCTGTGCTCCCCTCCCCGGGGCCGGGGCGGCCGTCGGGGCACCGAGC